TCGATTCCGGCTCCGACCTCCTTGTATGGAGTTTGCATGTTCTCCCCGGGCCTGCGTGGGTTTTCTCCGGGTACTCCGGTTTCCTCCCACATTCCAAAAACATGCATGGCGGGCTGATTGAACACTCCAAATTGTCCCTAGGTGTGAGTGTGAGCGCGGATGGTTGTTCATCTCTGTGTGCCCTGCGATTGGCTGGCAACCGGTTCAGGGTGTCCCCCGCCTACTGCCCGGAGACGGCTGGGATAGGCTCCAGCAGCCCCCGCGACCCTTGTGAGGACCAAGCGGATCGGAAAATGAATGAAATAGTCCAAGTTCCTAACAGTATACGGTCTTCCGATGCAAAGTACAGATTTGTAGTTAGTGTTCATCTAGTGAGCATTAAAGTGAACGAATAAATGGCCTTGTGTGGGACGGACAGGATTAAAGTCAACCTGGGAATGGACTGGTGTAAAACTTTGCAGGTTTCCGCCTCTGCTGCAACGTCAATTCCACCAATGAAGCTGTGAAAGTGCTTGGTTGACTTTTTTGCGCATCACCGTGTTGTGTCAAAAGCACTGACATGGGGGAAATTTTGGGCCGTGTGAAATCGAATACAACTTTCACTGAAAATAGTGACAGGTGGTGTAAAATATGCTACTTTTTCCACATTGCTTTGGTTTGTGGCTTTTTTAAAAAATTATAGTGCCCATTTCATACCCAAGATGTGCTTCACATCGGGGGGCAGAAACGATCTAAGATTTTAAGACATTTAAATGCAAAGTGTGGAAACCAAAGTGTCACGTTGCGTGGTGGTGGTGGTGGACCCCAAAAGGCAGGCAGGAGGGAGGAGCAGGGTGAACTTGACGAATTGTATTTCATAAAACACAGAGGAAAAAATAAATCCAAAACAAAGTGCTAACAACCAAAACGAATCCAAAGTATCAAACAAAACCATGAGTGAAGCTCAAAAAACTACAACAGAAACTTGACCGGAACGACAGGAAACATGACAGTAGCAAAGAACAACAATGACGCGACAATGAGTGCTCGGGGTGGGAGTACTTTTCAAGCACTAACTACCGAACGACCAACAGGTGTACAGCTGCAGGGAGAGCCCTACAGTGCCACCTGTTGGTCCCAAACAGAATCACCACACAAAGTAGTTGACCAAAATTGCAAAAACAACGCAAGAATGAGATTTTCAAAACATTGATGATGACAATGATTTAGCAGACCTCAATTACAGGCTTGAGAAGAAAAAAAAATCTTCATTTTTAACCTTTTTTAAAGCATTGAAATGATCCTCTCATCGGCGAGTTCCACAGAAGCCCGAAAGCATCCTGACCATTTGAATTTTGAAATTTGAAGCAGCATGTGGCTCCGGGTAACACTCAACGTATGGTTGTCGTTTCGCCGTTCCCGTCCACTAACCGTCTCGTCTCCCCGGTCCAGGACGCGCGAGAGCCTGGCGTCCAACACGTCCAGCATCGTGGAGAGCAACAGGCGGCAGAACCCGGCGCTGAGCCCCGGGCACCACGTGGGCCCGGGCGGCGCGGGGCTGCCCTTCAGCTTCCGCGCCATCCCCGAGCCGCCCGCCGCGCCGCCACCCGACAAACTCCAAAAGCCCGCCAACTGCCTGGCCTCCATCACCAGCGTGTAGACGCCGCCTCAAGTCAGCCAGTGGCCTCCCTTCTTTGGTTTTGCTTTTCTTTCGTTCGCTTCTGGTGTCACACACATTCACACACCTGGGACTGTTACAAACAAAAACAAAACAGGCATGGCTTCGAGAGACTGTTCCCCCAGCTTCAACAGGAACCTGACTGCAAAAAGTCAAATCATAATAATAAGGAAAGGCCAGAAAACTTCATCGAAGACTTTTTTGGGGGTGACTTATAACGGAGATTTACCGGTATTGGAAAGTAGTAGAGTATAGGAATTCAAGTACCATTTGGAAGCTTTTTCTATCACCTCATGTCCAATTCAGTGTTCTTCTTCCCGAACGAAGGCTCGCCGGATCAGCACAATGAGGAGATCGCCACAAGAAGAAGACGAAAAGGAGGGAAAATTGAAAAATTATAATGAGATAAGTCCGCTCGGGTTTGTGTGGCTCAATGCAAACGATGTAATGTATACTCCATACTTTTGATATTCTAATTATTATAATGGTGGTATTAAAGATGCTATGTGACCAAAAAAAAGCAGGTTTGGACAAAATGGCCTCCATCCTTACACTTGATATTTTGTTCGTTAGCAGAAGAACTGTTTTGAAGTAGCCCGGCTCCTTTCGCAAAAAAAAAAAAAAAAAAACTCGCAACTGGGACAAATCCAGTTCGCTGCGACCCGAATGAGTTTAACTTGTATAGAAAATGAATGCTCGAGGTCTCGGGTGATGTCAGGCGAACCCGCCGGCTTATATTAAAAAAAAAATGGTTTCATCAAATATTTTTGTACTTAGGAATAATGTATGCATAAAGTATGTTACTGTCTTTTAGATAATCTCTTGTTTTGTGCTTGAATGGGGGGGGGGGGACGCTGCAGTACTGCAGATGGTCAACAAGTAGCGGTAAAGAGCCAAAGACATTTCACTTAGAAAAGGCTAACATTGTAATATCTTGACCTAGTAATCGACCGTATTGCATTTTTGATAGATACACTTGTGGAAATGACCACTGCGACATTGATCTGAATTATCTTTTTATAGCTATATGTTTGACTAAAAAAAGATCGTGGTTTATTATGTCAACTACTGACAACAATCTAATTTCTATATATGAGTGCGTGTGTGTGTGTGTGTGTGTGTGTGTGTGTGTGTGTGTGTGTGTGTGTGTGTGTGTGTGTGTGTGTGTGTGTGTGTGTGCGTGTGTGTGTGTGCGCGCGCGCGTGTGCGTGTGTGTGATAAGTAAAGTCCTCAGGAATTTATATAATAGTAAAAGGAGTTGATATAGTAAAACGTATTTCCATGTGCACATTGTATACGCTTATCCATATAATGGATATAAGATTCTACACACCCTTGTTCAAATGGCAGGTTTTTGTTATTTACCTAAATGAGATAATTAATTTAAAATTGTTTCCACCGGTAATTTGAGTGGATTAAAAAAATATATTTTATTTTTCAGAAGTGAAAATCAACAACTGAGGTAATGTAGTTGCATAAATGTGCACACCCGCTTACAGCTGGGGAACGGAGAGAAATAATATTCAAACTCACGTTAAAGAGGAGCCCGTCACCATTTTAACTGCCTCTAATTAACCCCAAATGAAGTTCAGAATTTTTTTTAAGTGTCGATCTTAGGCTCATCTTTTTATATCACAACAAACTGGCATTTGAAAAGTGGATCGTAGATTATTTTTTACATCCACTTTTCGTACAGTATACTTGCAATAGTTGAGACAGCAATTTAATGCGCTTTTATCATATTTTATTGATATTTTCAGAGTTTTCAGGCCCTCTTCCGGGCTTTTCGGCTGTGAGAAACCGCAAGTCTTCGGACGTCCATTTTGGCTCTACGTAGTTCGTTGGGCCCAAAAAGGTAAGTCATACATTTGCAGACTTATTTTCAACGTACTGTAGGACAACGAGGACTTGTAGGACATGTCAGCGTCAGAGACGTGGACTCTTAATGATAATAATAATATTTAGAACAACAAACAAAAAAACACGTTAGCAGGGTATCCTCTCGAGCTTGGCACGTCATGGCGATTTGTCGTCATTCCACTTCAAAACATTGCACAAAATGCAAATAATTTGCGTTTGGGATGGTAAATGGAGCCGCGACAAAATGACACACCAAAGGAGTATTAGGGCCACACAATATAAAATACGACTAAAACAATGTAAAAAGGCGAAAATAAAGTTGTATTTGTTTGAAAGAAAATGTCGCAGTCGAAGTGAATTCAGTCACGTTTCAAGAAAAACGCCCTCATCTGACAACTGTGAAGTTGTATTTTTCGAGAAATTTAAGACCACCTCATGGAAATAAAAGGTAAATCAGTAAATTGTAATTTTATCCAGTTTTTGGACGCCGGTGGCACCGGAGTCTATTTTTTTCTGTAATTATTTGAGCATAGTCATAATCTTACAAGTATGAAATATTTTTTAAAATAAAGGTCATTTCATTTTCAGAAAAAAAACATTGTAATATGAGAACAGCGAATCAAAATGTTGGATCAGTCAACTTTATTATGAGAGGATTTTCAAATGTATGTATTTTTTTGCAATAAAAGTTGAAATGTAATACAATTAAAGTTATGTATATTGAAAAACGTCTTCCTTGTTCAATAAAGGGGTTTTTTTTTCAAGAAAAAAGTCGCAATGACAATAAATAGGCTGAAATAGAATTTTTCAGTTGAAAATTTCTTGGAAGCATTGTAACCTCATCAGAAGAGATTTCTTTTCGGAAAAAAAATGATCGTATGAGAGTGGCTTTTTTTTTTTTTTTACGGAAATAAAGTTGTATTTTCAGATATAATGTCAAGTCAAGTGTTTTCTATTCAAACATTTTTTGGGAGTCGTAGAAATAAATTAAAGTTACACAAATAAAGTCCAATGTATTAAATTGTTATAATTTTGGAAGGAAAAAATGTCTTTATTCTTTAAAAAAAAAACTACAACAAACACCAAGACTTCATTCTTGTCGTGTCATATTTTTGTACAATGTTGCCCCAATACTCCTTAGATACTACACTTCTCATATTTTTTGGGGGAAATACTCAAAAGCATTGAAACATGAAAACATGACACACCAAAGCGTCCCAGCATCTAAGGCAATAAAGTAGTTCCACAGGACTAGTGCTGTCCATTCTGTCAGTCCCTGTAGCACCAATGGGAACGTTTCCTTGCCCGTCATGCCCACAGATATTCCCTTCCTGATATCCACCACAAAAAAAAAAAGACGAGGGGGGCAGTGAATGAAAGGGTTCATTTTGTCCATTTGTCACCTCTAAAATCTGAATCATGTTACATTTTCATTGCACTTGTCTGTTAGTTAACACGATTACATACAAATACATACGCTAACCCAGAAACTGTTACATTTTGTTGAGTGGTTGAATTTTTTTTGAGACTACAGTACTTGTATGGTTGCCAAGTGGAACAGTGACCTGAGAGATCCAGAAAATGGGGGTGTGGTGAAAAGTAGGTGCCACCCACTTTGTAATACACAGTGCTACCACCTGCAGGACTGGAGTGGAACTGCACGGGATTACACTACCTGTATTGGGGCCAAGTGAAAATAGCAACCCTCCAAAATGTAGGTTTTTTTTTTGTTTTGTTTTTTTTTTGGGGGGTGGGGTCGTAACAGTCTGCTTACATTGGGCCCAAGTGGGACAGTCCAGTGGATATAAAAAGTCTACACACCCTTGTTGAAATTGAGCTATGACCTGTGCAACTCAATTTAAAATTTGAAGCAAAAAGTAAGAGAGGGGAAGTAAAAATTCATAGCTGACATTATGTGGTTGCACAAGTGTGCACACCCCACTTCTAACTTGGGATGTAGCTGTTCAGAATGAACCAATCACATTTAAACTAATTTTAAGTGGGAGTCAGCACACACCTGCCACTATTCAAAGTGCCTCTGATTTGCCTCCCCAAAAAGCCAGCTGTTTCTAGAAGGCTTTCCTGACATTTTCAAAGTCACACCTTGCCCGCGTACCAAAAAGACCTGCCATTTGAATAGGGGGAAGTAGATTTTGTATACCCACTCGATGTACTTTTCCACAATTTTGGCCATTGGACTCTTCTTATGTACTTGCATCAGTGCCGAGCGAAAGAATTAGGGCCAAGGGGAAGCAGGGGGTTTGATTGGTGGTGGTGGTGGTGGTGGTGCTGGTGGTGGATTCTGGCCCCTCCCCCCTCTTTTTTTTTTTTTGCTAACATTGGAGGGGCAATGACAAACCAAATACCAGTCTGTTTTCAGTGAAGCCAAATGTCTGAGTGACCTACCAGATGCAGCTGTGGTGAAAAAAACTCTTGGCACCCAGTTTGATATGCGCATTACCACTACCTACAGGACTGTTGTGGAACTGCAAAGCCAGTCAGGCAGTTGCACTGGATTTCAGGTCTGATTGCTTTTTTTTTCATGTATCTTTTTTCTGTATGGGTGCGCGCGCGCGCGCACACACACACACACACACACACACACACACACACACACACACACTTAGGAGTCTGGAGCAAGGCATCTGAAGCCATCTTGGAGGTGGTAAATGGGGAAAAAATAACAATAAAATCAATACTCTTGCAATAATCTGTACAGTTCAAGAATGGAGGATGCTTAAATGCTCAATGCATTTTCCATTTTTTCAGGTTCTTTAGTTCATCAGCAGTTTGTCATTCCGCATCCAACAAGCAGCTTTGATGTCCGCGACAAACGTTTGGAATTCTCCGCGTAATTCCACCGTGGCGTTCTTCCTGGTAGAGGTATCGCTGTCCGCGTCCACGGGACGAGGAGGTTTTCGGGAGGTTATTTCCTAGCGTGAAGGCTCTCCTGGAACTTAGTGCTGGAGTAGCGGAGGTGGAAGCCCTTCTTGCTGATGGTGTCATCGCTATGGAAACGGATCAGCAAGGCGTCGCTGGGCGAGTAGATTCCTTCCCTTGGCTGATGGGACATTGTCCACATTAATGCCAGTGTTTGAAATGCATGCTTGAAGAATACTGTTTCTAAATAGTGGCTATTATTTAAATTATAAAAATACAATACAAAATATGACTGTTGCGTTATTGCAACAACCAAATTATCAGGATCATTCTTTTCTCTGTACTTTCTTACCCCTGAGCCGCAGAACCGTCCGAGCCTGTGCGAGTCTGCGTCGTAGCCGTTGTAGAGTTCGATGAAGTCGTACCCGCAGTCGGCCTCCTCCTCCACCTCGAAGGTGACGAAACTGAGCTCGATGCCATAGCCCTGCTCGGCCGTCAGCAGCCACTCGCAGTCGCTGTGGCCCGGGTAGTTGTTGTCTCCAAACTGGGCGTGTGAGTACAAGTTCTTCTGCCGGGCATCCGCCTTCAGACGACCGCCACACTCTGCGCACAGTGTCGGAGGTGAAACAGTTGAATCGGGACACCCCTAAAAGTCTTTTTGCTCCCGATTAGGATTTGGGATGCACAGTATTTTGAGCATATACGCTGCATGTATTTGTTATCGTTAAAAAATATGATTTAATTACTATTATTATTTTAACTGTGGTCTTTTCTGAACAGTATTGTTACAGCGGAGGTTGTTTATGTGCTCTATGTAAATAGTTTGACAGCATTACGCTTGGGGCGGGTTGTTTTGGTGGTGTATTGAAGCAGTATTAAATGTTGTTGTAATGAAATTTAGTTAATGAGGAAATGCAGTGTGTATTAGTATTCTCATGATGATGTCAACGCAGAATGTTCAAGAGGTGTACAGGGCAGCACACTGCTCACGACTGGGGGCCCAATACAA